ACATTTATACTTGAAAAAAGGACATATAAAGATTACTATATAAATTTTGTAAAATTTTATGTAAAATTACTGCACAATAATTGAATAAACTATTTTAAGATTATTAGCCATTTTTAGCGCAGAACGTTTATTTTACAATTGTTGGAAGTTTTTTCGCGTTGATTGAATTATACTTTCAAGTTTACAGAAATGGTTCTATCTTGGCAAGTAGAACTTCTATTAGTAGCAAAATAAACATTTTGCTGAACGCAGTCACTGTAATTATAAAATAGTCTATTTAACAATACATACATTAAATTGAGAAAAATATGTATTTTTATTGGATAGTAAAACATATCGATATTATAATTCAATATAGTAAACTCAATAGTAAAGCAATATCGGAAGATAAGAATAGTTCCGTGCGATAAGCAACGGCGCAAATCACTTAGTTTCGTGATGCATTGCGAGAAGATTCATCCGCTCGATAGCCGTAACATTGTAGACAGGATTGCATCCAGCTGCCCGATATACAGTTAGGTTTTCTCACATGTGTGTACCGTATGCACTGTTCTACTACTTGTATAACAGATTCTCGCGCGGCGCAATGAGGCAATAATTAAATCGTGATTCGTGGCTCGCGATTCGCGACGTGTCATCGCGAGAGATTCTGTTATGCATATACATACCTAATCAGCGTTAATCTTTCTGTTGAATGTTCGCCCTCTCGCTTATCACGTGCGCAATTTCATGCATACGCATGAAATTGCGAAAAAATTATGATCGTGTATATGAGTCTCCGCGTTCTCATCATGAGATCTGAATAGTGTATCGTTTTGGCGAGCTACGTTCGCGTATGTCAGGCAAAGCGTATGCATAAGTAAAACCGCCATTGAATTCGGATCTTTTGGAAATTTTCCCGTTTTTATTTGATTGGTAACTTTTTGAGTGAGCGGCGATGGAAATTTTGATTGGCATAAAACGGAACGCGATGGAATGTATAAATGTGTTAGTGATAACGTATGAATGTCGAACATCAGAATAAAAGTTACTGATTTAAATTGTGCAGCACTGACGGACAAATATTATAGATCGTTAATCCTTCTTTTCGAAGCTTTTTGACAAAGTAGTGGAATATTTTGTTTTTTAAGAGTTTATATATGGGGTCTAAAATTTGATTCCAGCCTTAAAACTTTAAAATTCAAATTAAAAAAAAATTGGTTGCGGAACTTGGTTTTAGGAGATCTCTGCTGAATTTGAATTGCTCGCTGAGAGAGCCTAAAAACATTGAATCTCAAAAGAATACTCCTGGAAAGAGAATTAAGTGTCACAAATGATAATCAGAGTTTGAAAGTCAGTTTGGAAATCAGCATATGCATGACTTTGACGAGCTTCAAATAAAGAGAAATTTGATGTTGTGCTTTGTTATTAAAAATTGTAATAAATCAAATTCTATGATAATCGAATTATTTGTTTTAATTCTGTCCGTCATATTGAATGCATTATTTCGAATCCATAACGTTTTATTTTTTATTCGAATGTATTGTCAAATTATTAGGAGACACGATAGTGTCTCGGCGCTAAGATAAAGTACAATATATTATAGACCAAGTGTCATAAATATCGAGCAAGCAATTTATAAAATAAAAAGAGGCGTTCCACAGAAGCTTAAAAAATGAGTTTTTATAGGGTGCAGGGATCTCAAGTGCAGATTTCCAGCCACTTGAAATATCCATGTATTGATGAAAAATTTAACAGATGTTCAATTGTAGACATAAGACAGAATAGAACTATTCTGATAATAGTGATAATCTTTAATAAAATTTTGTTAGAGCAGAATTAGAATCGATTCCAGAGAAAGCCCTCGATATGGTTTTCGATATTGCATACCGAAATATAAAATATAACTGGCCATGATCAAAAATCTCATTTTGTACTAAGAAGTCACATTATTTTCTTCTTTACCATGCTAGACTGCATCACCTACAAAGTGTTTAATGAGTTCCTTCATCATACACGTTAGGCATCTGCTGATCTCCTTTACTTTAATCAGTCTCAAGTATCATAACCTACTCCATATGGTAGCAGGATTATCTTCTTGAACAAAGACGGATAGATAATATAAGTCTTTGTTTCGCAAACTATGTCCTGTACAATATTTTTCAAAGCTTTAACATTTATAACTGCCATTATTTCTATTCTCCATATTCTTCTAGTTTGTTCCTTTCACGCACATACCTCTAGATCTCTTACATCAGCCATGGTGCCGGTAGATTTCTAAAAAGAACACCTTATACTTAGGAGCATGCTTGTTGAAATGATCTAAAAGTTATTGTTAAATATGTCCATCTACTAGCTTTGTTCTCGAAGCTATTAGAAGATATATGTATAAAATCTGACCAGATGACATTCCTCTATGTCACAGAGAAAGCTTTGTTTATTAAAATTTTTTAAGTCTCTGCACAAAATTAAATTAGATGGGCATCGTTTAATATTAATTCGATGTATAATACTGATCAAATTATGTCGACAAAAAAGAGATTGCAGTCTCTCCCATAACCCTCTAATTTGCTTTCATCATCTGAGTGCATCATCTATTCATAGTTAGATCTTATATTTAGAACTGTCTTATAGTATAATTTTAAGATGTCACAAACCAATTAGAGAGCTGTATTAGCATCTTAAGATATTACTTAAGAAGATTTTAAAATAAGAACCGACTATGAATACTGGCCTACGGCCCAAAATAAATTAAGGAAGATGCTAAAACAAGGGGAGGGGAGAGAGAGAGAGAGAGAGAGAGAGAGAGAGAGAGAGAAAACGCTGGAGAAATGAAAATTACTTTTACTCGTACCGATAATGGATTATGCGAACAATGTATTCGACCGTAATCACTTCGTGTCATTTATATTATCGGAGGCAAAGGAAGTTTCGGAACGGAAACGAGATACGCGCATGCGCGCGGTCGCGACAATAAATCATGCGGTACGCGAACATGAGACTCTCATCTGATTTACATCATGCACTTGATACTGGTAATAATTTTTTATTGAATTATCTTAATTTCAGTGATACGTATAAACACGTATGTACATGATACGTGTATTTAATCATTTTGATTAATTACGTATTGTATCATTTTAGTACATTATTTTTTAAATACATTGCTGAAATTAACATACTTTAATAGAAAATTACTAGTTAATGCGCGTATCAAGTGCTTGGTGTAAAAGGGGTCTCTTTCCTCATTCTAGCAAAGTCTAACAAAGCCTACAGAACGATAGATTGTTTCGCGTTACATATGATCGTTTATTTTTAGCAGTCGCCTTGAGAAGCTGAGATGTCGTTCCTCTTTCTCGTCATTGTCTTGCGGATAACATTAATGAAATACGAATTACTGTGGAGAAAGAGAGAGACAGGGGGAGAGAGAGAGAGAGAGAGAGAGAGAGTCGGAAGTCTCTGATGCGATCGTATCGAAGTCTTTCCTCACGACATCCGCCATTCCTAAGATGATTATTATTCCGAGCAGCGTCCGCCTCTTTGTCGTTGTTATCGATGCGGGAATAAAATGACTTTGGCATGGAATATTGCTATGATAAAGTTAAAAAACGAAAAACAGAATCCGATCAAAATTTATATCTCACAAAGTGGTTTAATTATATATTAATTTCTCTAAGCGTTTATATATATAAGCGTAATAATGTTTATTAAGTCTACATCCATACTACTGATCCTTTGAGCCAAGATGGAAATGAAAGAATGTAATATGATTACAAAAATGGCTGTTACCTTAATTTAATTATAATTTAAGTGTATGTAATTTTTTATTCTAACTATATAATTTTTTAATCTTGCAAATAGTAGTTGGATATGTAACTATATCGTAAAAATAATTTTGTTTTTTTTCACTAGTAGAACTATAATATATGTAGAAAGAGAGTGAGAGAGAGAGTGAGAGAGAGAGAGAGAGAGAGAGAGAGAGAGAGAGAGAGGAGGTGAAAGAAAACAAATAATTGTAGCAACTATAAATTTGATATAATTTGAAATTATAATATCTGTAATTAGTTTTACAGAATAATAGCAACTATTATGGTACTCAACATTATAAAAATATAGTTACAGCAACAATATTTGTATATTATTAATTTATAATGAAATAATAGTGACTTAACTACATTAAATAATTACTTAGACCTCATACGATGAATGTTAAAGTTCACGTTATCCTTTTCTTATTTAATTATTAAGAAGAAGATAACCTTAGCGTTCATTGTATTTGGATAAACGGTATTACAAAAACTCCCTGTTATAGCATTAAAGTACACTTATTTATTTATGCAGCATGTAATAAAAAATTATGGGAAAATTTGGGGAGGATTATCAGAATGATTGTGTGAATCCGGTAATTTATCGGCTCTCAATTTATTTCTGAAATAAATTAATTTAATTTAATTTTAATTTTAATGAATGTTAGTTCAACATCTTAACACTCGGAATTGTAAGAGCGCTTCGTATTTAACGTTTGAATATTTGAGTTCCATTTTCAATCAGATCGTTAAAAAATTATGAATTTAATAGTGTATTGTAATATTTATGTTAATAATTTCAAATTTTTTATTAATTGTCGATAATATCATCGTCCTTTAATTATCCCTAAACTTGCCCCCTCCCCCTCCGAATCCCATTGATAGACACGAAAATTTGCCCAGTACCGGTCATTTTTAATAGTATCTCTTCTTTGGTTATCGATTTCGAAAACGATCCTGAAGACTGTAAGAACTCGCGCGGAAGTCCTTTTCTTTTAATTTCCGGAAATTTATGATCTTCGAAGTATTATAATAGCCCGATATCAGTTTTAACTTTGAGAAGACCAAAATTTATCTACCAGAAGACTCGCAAGCTCGATCGCGATTAATTTCCGGGGATTATTTTAAGGGTCTTCGAGCGTGTATCTCAAGACACCTGAAAAGCGTGATCAGAATACGAGTACTGATGGGGTTTTCTTTTCTCTTTGCTTGCAGATATACGGCTACAGCTAAACGAGCAACTGAGATGTCTCGATGTAAGAATGGAAGCACAAGTCGCCCTCGTGGTCGAGCTTCAGGATTTCTTCCGCAAAAGGGCGGAACTGGAGCTGGACTACAGCAAATCTCTCGACAAGATGGCTAGGAGCATACAGTTGAGGCATAAGGAGCAGAAACAAAAGTACGATAAGTATATCATGTATATAAATTCTATATTTTGTTATACATATACTTTTTTCATTATACATATACATTTTTCATTATAAAGAACATTTGATGAGAAGGAATGCATAAATCACAGAAATACGGTTAAAACATACAATTTCACCAGAAACCAATTTCTTAGAAACATCGGCGCAAATGACGATTATTTAAATTTGTATTTATAGTGCGTCAAAGTAATATATTATTACTTAATTGACATTTTTATTGTAAGAAAATTACTAGCTTAGGAGAAAAGTTACTAACTTAGGAGAAAATGAACAGTAATAGTATAGCTTTAAACAGTTTACATCTTTTTTTTTTTATTATCATTAAAAGTGCGATAGAACAAAATTACAACGTAGACGTTTGTTAACTGGATATAAAGCAAAATGGCGAAAAGGAAAAATAATTCTACTGTAGATTACAATATTAAATAATCAACGACGCATGCGTCAATTAATTGTAATTCAGACTCGTGTACCACGTGTTGCACGATGCAATGAAACAATGACGCGTATAACATTACATACATTTGCAATTACATTACACATTGCGCAACGCGAATTGTTTCGCGATTATATTACGTAAATTTTGATTGAGCTTGCGATTATATTTGAGATATAAATCTTGATCATGTATGAATAATATTTATAGTCATGAAATGTATAATAAATTGGCGCGGAGATCGATCTATAATAGATATCTTAAGTATCTATTGCAAAACTGTTCCTATACTAAAATCAACAACGATCTCAAATCTTTGAGTATATTTCCGAGAAATTGTATTTCTTCTTCTTAAGAGTTAATATTGTATCATTATATAATGTTTGCAGAAGATAGAAATTCATTTTTTTTTTTAACTAAATAGCAGCAGGAGGAATAATCTGTGGGATATCCTACAAACAAACCATCCCTTGGTTATCCAGAGGATATCTCCAGAACGTCCCTCGGATAAAGTGTAATAGTTATATACATATAATTTACAATATTGATTATTAAGTGTACAACGGCTTTAATATGCACCAGTGTCCATTAGTGCGACTGATTTCGCTATTATAGCGAAATGACCTGTGATTTACGTTTACGATATGGCGTTCACTCTGTAGCTGTTGCGCGCGCAGTCCTTGTACGAGCGTGCGATTCGCTACCCGCTCGCTGTCCCGGCGCGGTACAGTCCGAGTGCGTTCCGTTTTTGGCGCTCACAGCGCTTGTACGCATCATTTATCTTTGTTTAATATTTGATAGAAAACAAGAATGAAGTGATGTTTACAGCGTGGAGCGCTGCGGAAAACAGAAACGCATCCCATATACATGTATATGGCCACTGATTTACGGAAACAAGACTTAAGGCAGCCACAATACCGAGCACCATACCACCAGCAGCACATGCAATTTGCGAACAGGTCTAAACAGATTCGATAAACTTAGAGATTCGCGTTGCAGTTGAACATAAAGAGTGAGGTAGTGTCATTAGTATTTAATAAAATGTACATGTGATATATGTAGACTGCGTCTTATTTAACACTGTTAAAAATTATAACGCATCCTCTTGCTCTAATTATTGAAGGTACATACGACTATTATTTCAATTTACACAATTTATATCGGATTATGACATTATAATGACGCCGATAAAATAAACGTGTGATACATAAGCTGCGTTTCATTTAACGTTGTTAAAAATTATAATGAACTAATTTTTATGTATAACGCATTCTTGTATAAATACAGATAATTAAAGTATGACTTTTTTCAATGTATGAATATATCGTATTGGATTTTGTCCTTTGTGCTGTCTTGTTTGGAGAGACATTCCATAATATGAAAACAATTTTATGTATCGCAAATATTTTTCCTTATACATTATCATTGTAAGAAAATTAAACTCTAATTACGACTCTTATTTAATTTGGAGAAGATTCTTGTAGCATATAAAATTGGGTTGATATTACGAAGAATTTAAAGCTACAGCCTTGGTTATAAATATAAAGCGCCTACAATTTTTTGCATTTTCTTGGAAAAAAAAAACGATAATAAAAGTCAAATTAGAATTAATAAAATTAACATATATTTGTAAAAATAAATATTTTTTTTCACTAAAACTGTTTTTTTAATTTATTTTTTGTTAAATATAAATCATATAAATCAATTTGTGGGGATGTTTTATAATTATGGTCAAGGCGGTATTTCATTGTTAATATTACGTTATAGTATCAGAAAAGTATTAATTAATGAATAAGAGAGCGAATGGATGCTATGAATAAGAACGTATGAATAAAAAGGCCTATTTATATGTATTATATTATAGATATATAATAGAGATTTATGAATTCCTCTGCGCACATCTCATGACGATTTATATTTCTTGTATATTCCGTGCAATTAATGTTTTCCGCGTTCCACTTTCGCGACGGACAGACAGACGGATGGACGACGGAAAAGTGGATGGCTTCTCATTTTTTCGCGTCCTACACGCGCGTGCACATCTGCTGGCATCGTTCCCGCATTTACGACATGCCCCAGTTCCTTCTCGTCATTCAACCCTGAACGCGGGGCGCCCCTTTTATGCAGCGTATTCAGCGTCTACAAAAGGGATGCCTCTCGCGCTGTACATGGTTATGCACGGGTAAAATGTAATCCGTAACCACGACGACACACTCTCGTTTCCCACTTGCACATTTCCCTCATTTCGCTCCAGGAGATATTGCGAATCGATAGTTCTCTTCATTGCGAAGGCGCATCCGGGATTACGTCGTCATATTTGTTTACCCTTTGCCAAGAAATATAATTATCGTAAAGTAAGTTTTATGGTCGATAACCGATGGTAGATAACCTCTTTTCAGCTGGCCTACTTGCAGTTTTAAAAATATTGTATGTCCGTAAATGTTTATAAAATTATTTTCTGTGTGCTTGTATTGCAATAACTTGCAATATCGAAGAATTATGCATACTGTTACTACAAAACAGATGTAGGAAATCTGTTTGTAATGTCAAAATAATTTCAAAATAATTTATTCCACAATTTTTGGCCGTATTATTAAATGCGCAGATTTTTTTGTTAGATTCATCTTGTGTGGAAATGATAACTATTTTTATTTTTAAATAAAAATAGAATGACAGCTACATTTATATTTACATACATAAAATAAAGTTTTCTTTTTTATTTTGACATTCTCTCAATTACACATAAAAACACATCAATTATTCTACATCAAATATTTATTTATTTTTGTAAAACAAGAAAGATATATATATATATATATATATATATATATATATCGTTTATTTGTTACAATAACGACACAAACTAAAAAAATTGCAATTTTTTTAATTGCTTGCAGAAAAAGAATGAACAACATACTTTTATTTCTTCTACAGTCAGTTATTACACCAAAAATGCATTTCAAAATTAAAAGTGTAGGAAAATAAAGAAAACCGGCCATTTAAAAATATACATAGGAAATATATCGGAATAAATATGACAAGAGTCAGTGGAGTGTCATTGGCGTAGCACACTGAGTGCTAGAATTGAAAACGAGAGATCCCGATAAGTTCTTCAAATCTCAATCGGCTCCGTTAATTTTTCCGCTGACCCCTACAAAATATTACAAAATTTTAATGATTAAAAACAAATCTTATTTTCGATTAAAGCGGCGGATCTTAGTGCTTAAATCTTTTATAAGTTTACATATCTAATTCTGCAAATCCTCAAACGCCTAAAATCTTTTTCAGTCTTTGAAATGGGCGTATGAAATTGACACTTTTAGGCTTCAAAATCGTAGTTCTTTTAAGAGTTCTAGATTATTTAGAACAAAAAACAGATTTTCTCTAAAATAATTTTTGGAGAGAATTCCGTTGATTAAAACAATAAAAGTACACTGTGAAAAATAGGCATTCTAACTTCACACCCAGCATTAGCACCGAATAGTTCGTTGATGCCTCTTAACTGGAAAGAGTTTCTGATATAAAAAAATTATTTACTTTTTAAAAAAAATGAAATTGTTAAAAAATTAATATCAAACCTGAATGAATAGAATATCTAATTTCTTTCGAATGAATTCTAAAGTGCCTGATAAATAACAAATATCAAATTTCTATAATTATTTAAAAAATTGCCATTCAGAGTTACAAAAAATCATGAGCAGTGGTAAACCTTTGACGTCGAATAATTTCTTAATTATTAGCTCAATTATTAGAATCATTTTCTATATTTATTATAATTTCTTGCAGTGCTCTTAGAGTATTATCTAGAATTGTCATCAGAGAGAGAATTACTGAAAAACTTGAAAAAACCATTTCGTTGGGACTTAATTTACTCGAATTTCGCGTAAATTGGGACTATAGTTTGTTAATTACAGATTTCATCATTACAATTTAATAATATTCATGCTTTGAACAAAATTTTAATTTTTGCATGCCGCTAGTTTATAGTATTTTTTATCAAATAATTAAATTGATATACATATAGAAATTAATAAATTTTAATATTCATGCGTTTTTTTTTACTTCACTTTTTGCTTTCCTTAGAATATCAATTTTGATAAAACAGGAAGATAAGAATCTAATCGCCAAATTGAAAACGGAGTATAAAATAATTGTTCGATTTTATTTGAAATTAATATACAACTATATGGCTAAATATGCTGTTAACTTATTGTTTCAATATTCTTAATAAATATAACATACTTATATTTTTTTAGAGTCATGGTAGTTTCGACGACAGTTCTAGATAGTACTCTATGAATCCTACAAGAAATTATTATGGTAAGAAACGATCGAGTCGGTAATTAAGAAGTTACTCAACCTCGAAAGTGCGGCTCGCGCGAATTTGACTAAGCCCCGACAAAACTTTTTTTAGATTTTTAGCCAATTCTGGCGGTAGTTCTCTAGCTCTGAAACTACTGGAACTCTGAAAATAATAAGCTATTAAATATCCAATTTCTATACTAATGTTATGTAATGTGTAAATTAAAGTTTACTATGACAGATAAACAAACAAAATTTCTATAATAGAAACAGAATAAATGTGCGCTTTCCTTAGTGTCGTCTCTGCAGCTGTTAACAGGTTTATACGTTTTCATGAACGTTGTAAGTTAAAATGCATTCATTTTATATACAACTTTTTTTATTGTATATGTTACTATTTTCTTTATATTTTGATCGATTAAGTGCAACACTGATAAATAGATTATAACACAAGACAAATCTATTCTTTAAAAATCAATAAATGATTTCAAAAAATATGATGTGTCTAATAATGTAACCAGAGATTATACATACGATATCCAAACAATCTTAGATTTATATAATAGGGTGTGATTTTAGGAAACTTGCTTATTTAATATAAATATTATTTTATCTTCAATCTAAAGGTATGTGTGTGTGCGTGCGTGCGTGCGTGCGTGCGTGCGTGTGTACATTGTATATAGCGTATTTGAGCTGCATGAACGAGCAAGTGGAACGATCGCTATTACGTACGCAAACATTGAAAATGTAAGGACGGAACGATATGCATTCTCAAGACGACGCTTTATCGGCTCGTTAGCGCAGTCAATTTAATTGCCGATGTAATTACGTCGATATACACGCGTGCATAACATGCACGTCCGCCGTCGATTCCATATCGCCTCTTATCTATCGTTTTCTGCAGGCGGGAACAATGGCCCCTATTCTCCAGCTACGCCTGCTGGCAGCAGCTCGTAAACGAGACCAAGTCCCTCAGCAGGGACCATGCCGCCCTATCTGAGGTCTACAGCACCCACCTCGTAGGCCGTCTCAATCAGGTGATGGAGGACGTGCAGCGAATTTACAAGCGTGTGAGTGCCATACGCTACGCGGTACACGATGCCGCCGTTAGTAGCTGACTTAAGTCGGAATAGCGCAATTGCATCGCCGCGCGCCTAACTTTGAGAAGTTCGATCGCTCCATTGTCTCGTCGAATTAATTAACCTCAAATGTCTCCATTCCGCCGTCGTCGCGTCGCCACCCACCTCGCGATCACCTTTCATTACAACTTGATGGCATTATCGATATACCGGGTGCTGGAAACAAAGACGAATGCTAATTCTATTATGACGAAATTCTCGACGTTGCCTCTTACATTCTCTTACAATTACACGCGTCTTCGTTTACTTTTACTTTGGCAATTTATATTCTCGTAAACCTCTTTTAGCTGCACTCAAAAGATTTAAGGGATGATTCCTTACGGCTTACATACATTAATTCAAGAAATTTTGAAAATTTCATATAGTTCTAGGTGCGTTCAAGGAGCTCACTGTCAGCGCTATTCAGTACAGTAGCTGTTCGGGCAGGCATATGTAGATAGTATAGTGTAAACACTGTTATAACATTAAAGAGATTGTAAGGCAATATGTTAAGAATTACTTGAAACAAATTACAGATTATTCTAAATTGCATTTAAAAGTAATACAAAAGAATTAAAGAGTTTACCATCTGGATCAAAAGTTATTTCAATAAAAAGTAATGTATTTTTAATTTATACCCTAATAGCAATATATGGAAATGCATTAAAATAATGATAAACATTTCAATTTTTTAATATACGTACTTTATGAATTCAGAAATATTTATGTAAAGTCACATGTTGAGATATCGCAGACATTAGTTGTTCAGTAAGTAAACGAAATATTTATTTGTTATAAAATTGGTGAAACTCAATGAAATTTTGCATAAGTTATTTTTAACACTTACAGTATAGTATTTATAGAGATGTCGCGAGTGGAGAAATAAAACTTCTAGCCTAGGTTTTATCGTTGCACACACGGGAGCTCTCGCAAACCTGATGTACTTATACAAACAAAATTTAGATTTGTTATTATTTAAAAAATTTTTGTTTATAACAGATGGTGAAAATAATAACAGATAAAATAAATAATTGATAAAAATGTGTTGCTCAATAAAAACGAAATGTTATAAGCACAACTTTCACTATGTGTATATAATTTGCTCAAGGTGTAAATATTAATATATGTGTTTATATAATTATATATATATGAGGAATCATCTCTTACAATCTTTTAGAATAAACAATAATAAGTGAAAATTGAGCAGAAAGAAATGTTTAATACAAATAAATCAGAACGAGATCTGTATATTCATATTCAGTTAAAGCAAGTCTTGATGCTTGATAATATTTTTGCGTGAATTTTTACAGTTTCTAGTTCAAGCGAGCAAGCGCCGATTAATTATTTATGCGCGTAGCCTGTGGTTAAACTAGCAATTGTAAAAATTCACACAAAAATGTTATCAGGCACCAAGATTCGCTTTGACCGACTATAGCTTCTTTATTTCTTCTCTTCATTTATACATCTTTTAAAAATACTTAAGAATTAAATCTAAGTCTCGTACATGTTTTTGTACAATCGTAAATTCTTTCGAAAGAAGAAATGTTGTTTCTATTGCAATTGATTCCAATTAAATTCGTAATTAAACACGTTATGAAGAGATCATACACTCTGTATGTTTTTAATCAATCACAATTACATTTGGTATCTGTTACCGCAGTGTCGCGAGATCGGCTATGAGACGCACGAGGAGATACTTCGAGTATTGCACGAGCTACACACGACAATGAAGACTTACCAAGCCTACCAGGCCGAGTCCAGACAGGCGGAGACGAAGCTCCGCGTCGCTGAGCAGCAACGCAACAAACTCGAGGTAGCGAACGCAGACAGTCGTGAGAAACTTGCACGCAGCAAGAAATACAAGCTCATCGAGAAGGAAGTTAACAAGGTAGGTTACAATAAAATAGAACGTATTGAAGGTTGAGCTTGAATGTTTTTCAGTAAGAGCACATATAAGAGCTCATATCGGTGCTTAATCTTCGCGGAAATGGAAGCGGTTTAAGTTCTTCTATCTAGTCGCTTCAACCATTTGCGTCGAACTGTCTTGACAAATTGAACCCGGCGCGGTGAAGGAAAATTGTACATAGCATTTAACTTCTTTCTTGTATTTTATTTTATCTGCAGGATAAATGTATTTTTTTTTTAAATCTACGAACTTATTTTTTGTAGCACAAAATCAGTACTATTTGTATCTTTTACTTTTTTCCCTCTTTTCTTTCTTATTTCTGCTAATTTGATGTTAGACTAGCAGCGTCACGCGTTTCTTCTAAATGGCATGTAGTACAAAATTGTTCTTTGAAGTAGAAATTAGCACACAAAATGAGCACTAAATAGTTGAAAACTAAAAAAACGTCTTTTTCGATTCTGCTCATCATCAGAGGTCAAATTTGATATAGTTATGTTCATTAATTTTAAAATTACATCAGTTTGAAGTAAAAAAATCGGTTTTACGCAAAGAAGTTTTTAATCCTCTGTCTGTAGTCTGGGCATGTTTCTTTGGCATGAGACAAACACTCAAATTTCTCCGAAATAAAGGAGAACGGAATCCCTCTCCTAAAATATCTTGTAATATTTTGTAACTATCTTGTAATATTTATTTAGTAATGTAAAATAAAGATATGGAAAAATAGTCCTGAATTTTTCAACATTTTTTGAAAATCTTCAAAAAATGAT